ATGGCAAGCAAAGCCCTAAAACTTACCATGGGTTAAACCCCCATCCATTCTGCGCTTTGTTTGCAATCGTGTTATTGCAATTTTGCGAGTATGTTTAACCATATTATTACTAAATATAAAAAAAAACTTTTTTCTTTTAGGTCACCATGCCTCAGTGGGACATGGCTGGTGCATTAAAAAAATTTTTTTAACCATATTGCACAAGTTCATTCATACCCTTTTGTACTTTATTTATCTTCTTTTGCACTCTATGCTGCCTCTTCTGCAGTGTTTATAAAAAGACTGATCTGCAAAAATCAGCTAAATTTTGGGTTGGCCCCAACACCAAACCTACTCTCACAGGTTCTGACATTAAATGGAGTTACTCTGATGCTAATAAATGGCTCTTGATCCAGGAATTTAGAGCCACCCTCTTCCTTGGATCAAACCTGTTTACTTCCTATTCCCCCTGGTGCTGTAAGATCCCTACTGGTTTAGTGCTCACTTATGATTATAATAACATTATACCACAAATAATGTCACTTTTCTATGCACTGTATTTTTATATTCAAATTTTAATCATTCTGATTATTCTTGGTATAATTACTATTATTATTATATTCAAATAAAGCACTAAATGCATGAGGGTCATTCATAGCTGGCATTGCGCACTGAGCATTTTCTAAACAGGTTTCACTCATTTCAGTGGCGGACCATCATTTTTGGGGCCCTGAAGCTTGAACTGTTGGGGGGTCCCTTTGCAACCCCTTCTCATACAGCAGACCCAAGATTTTTAAGCAATGTGGACTAAAGTCACTTCTGGGGCCTCTCCAGGATTAGGGGCCCTGAAGTTTAAGCTTCATTAATTTCATAGCAGATTTTCCCTGCTCAGAATGTATTCTACATTCTCTTGGTTTTCCCTGGATATTATAACTCTTCCCTGGTATGCCAAACAGGATCACTCCTATGTATTTTCCACACTGTTTGCTAAAGAGCCTCATACAAACACACTGGAATTAAAAAAAATAATCCAGATCATATCAAGCTCCTTATGGAGAGCCGCCAGGTTTATTAAAATAAGCTTCAATTCGTGGAATTTCCATACTTAAGAGAGGATGCCTCTATTAGAAATTCCTTGTACTTGTTTTGGGTGTGCATGCATAAATTTTTACACACAGTAGAACCCCCGCATCCAGGGATTTGGTTTTCACAGTTTCAGTTATCCGTGGCCTGAAAGTAAGCTTTAATTTTGCTTAATAATTAGACCAAAGCATAAAAGTAGTAATGAGAGTTCTTTAAAGCCTAAGAGAAGCCGTGAAATGCTTCCCATTAGTGAAAAAGTGCTAATTCTCCTCTTATTATGCATAATTTATCAATTAAACTTAATCGTAGGAATGTAAACGAAAAATGACTTATATATAGGGTTCGCTACTATCCATGGTTTCAGATATTCACGGTAGGTATTGGAACGCGTCCCCCATGGATACAGGGGGACTACCGTAATTGGTAATAAATACAAAACATCTCAGAAGCTTAACTGATCTGTATATTTTGACCTCCTGCTGGGATCCTCTTCCATCTGCTGAAGAGGACCCCAGCAGGGGGTCAAAATATATAGATCAATTAATCTCCCAAGTTTCTGCTTCCATGTGGGTTATTACTGAGCACTGGCAAGTGTTCATTATACTTTAGTTATTCATCATTTATTGTGTGTTCACGATTGTCACAGTTACGAGTTTATCTCACTAATACAGTAAGATGTCGTGCTTGGAGCTTTACAAGAAAATATTACTTAGTCCTCACTCAATACACTTACATATCTTAAGGTTTATTAGCTGTGTACGTAGTAAGAACCAAACTGGTGATCTAGCAACTGTAAGTTCACAACTGTACTAACATCACCACAAAGTGAAGTCAGTACAGTCGTGAAGTAGCAATTGCATGGCCACCGGGCCAGTCCATTGTATTCATTACATAATTTGCTACTTGAACAACACTGAGATTCTTATTTTACTTATGGCTTATGTTGATACACTGAAAGACCCATAATACTAACTTATTCTGACATTCCTGCATCTCTACCTTGCTTTTTCATTTTTTACACCATTAAATTTATTCGGTCTAACTCAAGTCTGCTTTGTGTTTCAAAATGACGACACTCACTTTACTGACGTGCTTCAGCAGATGCTATGATGATGTTAACAACATCTCTGTCATGATCACACTCACTGACTCACTGCAATCAAGCATTAGACTTGCAATTTACTCGGTAATCTTACCTAAGAATGTTGTAGAAACATTCTTTTCTTATTATGTAAAGTGTTTTATCATTTGTAGTATGTGATCAGTTAAGAGGCATGCAAGTTCCTCCATCTTCTAAAAACATTCATTTTTTCACTATAATCTACCTTGTCCATAATTACTATTGTATTTGCTCTGTCTGAGCAAAGCTCAGACCTCTACAACACAATTGTCCTCAAAGATTTGTTAAGTTATACCATGAATTAAGGAAAGATCCTGGACTTCACCTTACGAAACAGACAAAGCAAATGCGATAGTAATTATGGACAACGTTGATTATAGTGGAAAAATGAACATGTTACTAGAAGACGGAGGAACTTATGTGCCTCTTCAACAGAAAAGTCAACTCATTCTTGAACACCTGGGGAATTACTTCAGAATATCTGTTTAACATTCAGCTTTCTTACATGATTAGTAATGTCACTAACACAAGTTATCAAGAATGAATCAATGATGGTATCATACAGAAGTTTATATTCAACCAAGATTAAACTTTATACCAATCAACATCCATCTGGTCTCCTTACATTTTGAGTCTATCCCTTCATGATGGTGTTGGTGAAGGGTGCTTGATCCAAGGAACTGGAGCCACCCTCCTCATCCACAGATCAAACCTGATGCCTCCTACTTCCCAAGCATTGAATGACCCTTATGGGTTTACAGCTTACATTTGAATATAAAAATAATAATAATAATAATGTGACTAAATGATTATCATAAACTTTATGACTAAGTTTAATGTCCAATGGTCATTTATATTTTTTAAAGTACAAATATAGATGAATATAAATATCATGAAACAACATAACGAGATGAGAAGGTAAAAATATCACTGACAATCGTGAATGGTATTTGTCCCAGATAAATCACAGAATGGATGGGGCTTGAATGCCACTGTTCAAACCCCATCCGTTCCATGATTTTTCTGCAATCTGTTATTACGATTTCATGTGTCCCAAACAACATTTGATAAGAAAACTGAAGTGTGAATTTAAATTGTACTAGTGAATGAGAATTATAACATGCATGCATTATAAATTAATGCCTTTCTTTATTGCAGAAAATTTACATGTTAATGGGAGAGATATCAAGCAGGGTCACCACTGGTGCTTTCCACTACTTAATACCATTTATATGGAATACAGAGTGTGCGTGTATGTGTGATGACAACATTGCACTAACCCACATTAATGTACCGGGCAGTATACTACAGTATATACAAGACTACTCGTGAGGTTGACTGCAGGCGTTGCCAGTGGTCAGTGTAGTCTGTTGTCCACAAGTAAGACAAAACACCAGGCATTGACTTGTCAGTGAAGTCTAGGTCCATCAGTAAAATACCGTGTTAGCAACACTGTGTGCTACAACAGCTCTTAAAAGTCAAATTAATAATATCCAGCACCATGTTAAGGGTAGGAAATACCACCAACCTATATTTGACAGTACTTATCAGATCAAACAGTGAGCCAAACCAAAAAGTTTGTGGTTTCGGTAACTTGTTCTATACTTGAAGTTGCAACTTATCAAGTTCATTCGGTGAATATATTAGAATACATTTTACATGCAGTATATAATGCATTAATGTGTATTTAAAGGATGAAAACAACTGTTACCAGAACCACTTAAACATTTCTGTCTGACATTAGTATATGAAAATTCCCAGTGGTGATTGGCAACTGGCTCTATATAACTATTTCATCAACAAAAAAATATTTTTTTTGAGAGAAAAATATTATTTTAAGTTGATAAGACACCCATTACTGCACTATTGGAGAGAATTTGACTATGGTTAAAACCAGAGTAACCATACCATTTATTTAAGAAAATAATATCCATATGGTGTATATTTTTAAGTTTAAAAACTTCCTCTGTCAGCCACTTCTAAATACAATATCCGAAGTTTTCAGTAAATATGAAAAATTAAGTTTTGAAGTTTATAACTTGAGGGCTGAATTGTGTGCACATTCGTTACTTTTTACTCTACTATACATATTCATATCAGCTTTTCCACTGTCATCAATGACAAAAATAGACCTATACATGGTACCGAATTCTTTACTACCTTCACCAACAAAAAATTCAAATTCATTTGTAATTTTTGTTATGATGTATGGTCACCCCGGTTAAAACACTAATGTCAAATAATAAAAAAATCTTTTTGATGTACTGTACCACCAAATACGTTACTGATAAATGAACGGTGTTAAGTGATTCAAGACACCAGCATCCTGTGTGTTACATGACTAGCCTCACTATATTTCAAAATATACTCTGCAACTTCATTTTCTCATTGGCGTCTCAAATGTAGTATTAATAGTGTGACAAAATATTTCTTTGCATATCTGGCTTGTCAAAAGCAATTAATATCTGACTATTCTTACTAGTGTGCCATGTGACTTTTTTTAAACTGCCGTGTACTACAGTATATGTGTGTGACGTTTTGGAGGTTACATGAATTATAAAACTGTATTTCACGTCTTTTCATACAAATTCCTAATATACTCAGTTCTAGTACACAGAGGTTATTGGTTAGTTTCCTTAGACTCAACACAAGTCTTAGTCATTCAACTGCTTCAACTTCAAGGCTTCTTAACAATATTCCAAGACTTTATGAACCCACAAGCATGATCAACAAGCCTGTAAACTGGCTGGCAGGTGGATCTATGGCACAACACACTGTGGTGTAGTCAGGGCAACAGGGTTACTCTTCCAGGTCTAACCTGCGATGTTGACACAGAATTTGTTGGTAACGCCCCACTCGTCACGTAAGCTCAGGTTGAACATGGAGTAATCAGGCCGGCCTGTTACTTCTGAGTCTATGGTAAGGAATGAAGGAAGGCGCCGCTGCAACTCCTCGGAAGGAAGAGTGGAATAAGTCTCCAGGAGGATGAGACCTTCACACCTGTAATAAGAAGACAGTGATGAAACTGGCGCCATCTATGAAGGAATAACAAACATTGGATGGCTCCTGTGGTATGGCACTCACCCATCTTAAAATCAATAGAAGACTAATTGGTATTACAGTATATTTAATTTTTTTCCAATGTGCTGGCCATCTCCCACCAAGGCAAGGTGACCTAAGAAAGTGTAGTTTTTTTTTTTTTTTTTTTCAACAAGTCGGTCGTCTCCCACCGAGGCAGGGTGACCCAAAAAAGAAAGAAAATCCCCAAAAAGAAAATACTTTCATCATCATTCAACACTTTCACCACACTCGCACATTATCACTGTTTTTGCAGAGGTGCTCAGAACACAACAGTCTAGAAGCATACACATATAAAGATACACAACATATCCCTCCAAACTGCCAATATCCCAAACTCCTCCTTTAAAGTGCAGGCATTGTACTTCCCATTTCCAGGACTCAAGTCCGACTATATGAAAATAACCGGTTTCCCTGAATCCCTTCACTAAATATTACCCTGCTCACACTCCAACAGATCATCAGGTCCCAAGTATCATTCGTCTCCATTCACTCCTATTTAACACGCTCATGCACGCTTGCTGGAAGTCCAAGCCCCTCGCCCACAAAACCTCCTTTTACATTTAGTAATTTATACAGGAGAAGGGGTTACTGGCCCATTGCTTCCGACATTTTAGTCATTGCTTATGTCACACGAGGCTTATAGAAGGATCCTTTTAGTATATTTAAAACAAACTATTAACACAGGTAATATTTTTCTTGTATGGCAAATTTATTCACATTGTATTTTCTTCCACACATTGGCAACACCATCAGTCGTGTACATTCAAACATCTTCACCATTGTAACATTCATGTGGTCAAAATACTAGACATATTTAAGATTAATAGCCATGAGCACTGGCTAAATATCAAGCATATAATAGTTATTATCTTAGATATAATAAACCAATTTTAGAGTATTAGATGCAGTAAAACTGAAACAAAACAAGTTATAAGACATATTAACCCACTATTAAGTGTCCAAACAATCAAACTATTGCATGTTTGATTCATTTGTCACAGCTGTACTTTGTACCATATATAGATCAGACCTTGTCAATCAGCAGTGGAGGTTGTGTTGGTGTCTGTGCCCTCTCTTATTTCATCATTTCAGTCTTTTATATTTAATTAGGTATATAGTAACCATCCTTGATAATGAGTTAAAGTACATCCTAGTATGTAACATAAATCCTTCACTGAGTTAACAGCAGTGTTAATACAATAGAAATTAGAACCACCTTCCCCATTCACAAAATATATGTACCTGATTACAGTATGACTCACGAAATCATAACACGACCGTAAATAAACCATAGAACAGGTGGAGTTTGAACCTGTAAAGTCAGTTGTAAAACTCTGCCCTTTCCATGGTCTGATTACAGTACTTGTCAACATCCCTCCCTTTACCCAAAGCTGCATCACCCTTGCAGGTTTAGCACTTCCCTATGATTATAATAATTCTGTAATGTGAATTTTACCTTTGATGACAAGGCTGTTGGTATATATCGAGCTGGAAATATTGGTTGTTGTGGAGGAAACACCGGCGTTTTTTGAAAATTTTTAAGTGGTGTTCATCGGCCTGTGCTGACATATTGCTCCAGTCTCGCTGGCTGATGGGAGTCTTCACCTCCACGATCTGACCCAGCTGTTCTGGTTTGCGAATTGTGTGTGTGTAGCTATGATGACCTGTAGGATGACAAGTAGGTCAGGTCATATACGTATAAGAACTCTGTTACTTAAATTTTAAAGAATATATGTACAGTAAGTCTCTAACTTACAAATGCCTCCAGGTTACACACATCCTCACCAGGGGTAACCCAGAGGAATAAAGAGGGAACAGGGAGGAACCTTAAAAATTCCCTCAGCCCCCAAATAAAAATAATAATGTTGCCTCAAGACAAGTCCCATAGTCCTATCTTCCATCCAGATGACCATCCTTAACCTCCTATATAATAAAACTTCCACAACAGCCCCTGATCTTACAATGCAGTATTTAACAATCAATTCAATCAGAAATAAATGTAAATAACATCCCCGCATAACGATTACTCAGAATTGTGCAATTATGTAAGTGTATTATGTAAGTGCGTTTGTACGTGAATGTTGGGGTCTGACCGGACTAATCTTTCACAATATTTATGGGCAATAAATTCGGCAGTACTGGCACCTAAATACTTGGACGTGAAAAATATCGTTAACCGGGGTCACACTGTATAAACATGTGAAACCTACATCCTTTCTAGTATTACTCTTTTATACCAAAGAAGTTTTTGTTGTTGATCTCTGTACAGTGTATACGCAGACTAAAGCACAGGTGCACACATACAGTGGACCCCCGGTTAACGATATTTTTTCATTCCGAAATTGTATGTGCCAGTTTGACGAATTTGTTCCAATAAGGATACAGTGAGCCCCAGCATACGTTGTGCATACCCTAACGTTAAACCGCGATCCGATACATTTATCGCTAAGATTTTGCCTCGCTATGCCCGCATTAATTTAAAACACCGCTCAACGCTATTCGTCTGACACGTCTATGTGAGGCCTGAGCGCGACTCCCTTGTCTACCCGCGTGGCATTGTTTACAAGCAGCCTCCGCGGTAACATCAAGCATACAATCGGAACTTTCGTATTATTACAGCGTTTTGATGATTTTATCTGCTAAAATAAGTGACCATGAGCCCCAAGAAAGCTTCTAGTGCCAACCCTGTGGTAAAAAGGGTGAGAAATATTATCGAATACTGTGGTACCATGGTCAACTGCTGATGCTGCTGCTGCTGTAGCACTGTCAGCTGCTGCTGCTGTAGCACCATCAGCTGCTGCTGCTGCTGTAGCACCATCAGCTGCTGCTGCTGCTGTAGCACTGCAGCTGCTGCTGTAGCACCTCAGCTGCTGTGCTGCTGTAGTACCGTCTGCTGCTGCTTGTAGCACCATCTGCTGCTGCTGTAGCACCATCTGCTGCTGCTGTAGCACCATCTGCTGCTGCTGTAGCACTGTCAGCTTGCTGCTGTAGCACTGTCAGCTGCTGCTGCTGTAGCACGGGTCAGCTGCTGCTGCTGTAGCACTGTCAGCTGCTGCTGCTGTAGCATTGTCAGTGCTGCTGCTGTAGCACTGTCAGTGCTGCTGTTTGTAGCACTGTCAGCTGCTGCTGCTGTAGCACTGTCAGCTGCTGCTGCTGTAGCACTGTCAGCTGCTGCTGCTGTGCTGCTGTAGCATGTCAGCTGCTGCTGCTGTTTGCTGTAGCCCCGTCAGTGCTGGTGATGCTGTATGTACCGTCTGCTGCTGCTGTAGCACCGTCTGCTGCTGCTGTAGCACCGTCTGCTGCTGCTGTTAGCACTGTCAGCTGCTGCTGTAGCACTGTCAGCTGCTGCTGTAGCACTGTCAGCTGCTGCTTTTGCACTGTCAGTGCTACTGCTGCTGCGTAGCACTGTCAGCTGCTACTGCTGCTGCTGTAGCACTGTCAGCTGCTACTGCTGCTGCTGTAGCACTGTCAGCTGCTGCTGTAGCACTGTTGTTGGTGTGGCTTATTGAAAATACCAAGAACAATTAACCCCAGAGGGTTAGCCACCCAGGATACCCAAAAAGTCGTGTCAATCGAAGACTGTCTAACTTATTTCCTTTGGGGTCCTTAATCTTGTTCCCAGGATGCAACCACACCAGTCTCTAATACCAGGTGAACAGGGAAAAATGCCTGGAACTAGTGCTCATATTGGTGAATTTAAAGCCAGCAAAGGTTGGTTCGAGAGATTTAAGAATCGGTAGTGACATACACAGTGTGATAAGGCCCGTTCTGGAAAAAAAATGCCAAACAGGACCTACAGTACTCAGGAGGAAAAGGCACTCCCAGGACACAGTGTCTATCAGTATTGCTGATCTTCAATAAAGGTAAGTGTCATTTATTCTTCATTTAGTAGAGTAGTACATGCACAATATATACTGTGCATGTACTACTCTACTATTGTGCATGTATTCTTCTCTTTGTGTGTAGGAAAATGTATATTTCATGTGGTAAAATTTTTTTTTTCATACTTTCGGGTGTCTTGCACGGATTAATTTGATTTCCATTATTTCTTATGGGGAAAATTCATTCGCATAACGATAATTTCGCATAACAATGAGCTCTCAGGAACGGATTAATATCGTTATGCGGGGGTCCACTGTACTGTGAATTAGATTAGTCCATTTCAGACCCCCAAACATACACGTACAAACCCACTTACATAAATACACTTACATAATTGGTCGCATTGGGAGGTGATCGTTAAGCGGGGGTCCACTGTACTAGTGACTTTCTTTCGTGCTTAACATTATTTTTTTTTTTTAACGAACTGGCCGTATCTCACCGAGGCAGAGTGACCTAAATAGAAAAACTGAAGTTTTTCTTTTTAAATTTAGTGATGTACAGGAAGGCCCCACTTATACGGCGGGTTAGGTTCCAGGCTACCGCCGTTTAAAGCGGAATCGCCGTAAAGTGGAACACCCTTTTTTTCCACTTATAAATGCATACAAACACTAGATAACAAGTTTACACTAACATATATTAAGTTAGCAATAGAACCAGGCATCAAAAAACAATAAAAGGTACAATACACAATAGTGCACTCATTACTTTTCCTTAAAATATTTTTTAGTTTAATCTAGGGTGAGACAAGTAGTATTTATTGTAAGAAATCAAGTGTGGTAAAGTATTGTAATAGCCCCACAGGCCACCCACCCACACATACTATTCTATGATATTTAAGCATCCAAAAGCGATAAAATGTATATACAGTTCACTCATTACTTTCCTTAAATATTTGTTGTCTTAATGTAGGGTCAGGAGTAAGTAAATGAGATAAAACGAATAAATGAGAGAGAGAAAGAATGAATACATGAGAGGGGGGAGGCGCAGTATGTAAACAAACCAGGGGAAGGTAAGTTTTGTAAACAAACGAAGTGTAAGTCGGTTTGTGTACAAGTTACATTGTGTACGGTTGTCTCTACATTGATACGGTAGAATTAATAAAGAAGAACACTCCCATTCTCATGTAACATCATTTTGAGAAGAAATGAAGCTCTGAGTGAAGGCAATGGAAATAAGTCACACTGACTTTTTTGGGTTATCCTAGGTTCTCTACACGTATGTTGTATGTATGATAATCTATGTAACTGTATTTGTGTATACCTGAATAAACTTACTTACATACATACGAAAGGAATAATTTTCTACAGTTACCCCCAGTAACACATTTACTCTTATGTTAGATTAGAGAAAATGTTATTCTTGGCGTCACTTGTACAAGTTATGTGGCTCCACATCTTATATTTATGTTTATTTATTCTATTGTGGGGTGTATTTATCATCTTTTTATGTTATGTATCGTGTTTATTATATAATTTTGAAAAAAATATCATGGATGGATTAATGAAATGTGTATATTACCGTAATATACGACATTTAATGAGACTCCGTGACTATTGTTATTATGGCGTCACTTGTGGAAGTCGTCTGCTACCAGAGATCACATTTATGTTTATTTATTCTACTGTGGGGTGTATTTATCTTATTTATATGTTATGTATAGTGTTTATTATATAATTTTGAAAAAAATATCATGGCTGGATTAATGAAAATGTGTATATTACCGTAATATACGACATTTATGAGACTCAGTATTGTTATTATCACCACTTGTGCAAGTCGTCTGCTACACAGCCTCACATTTATGTTTATTTATTCTACTGTGGGGTGTATTTATCTTATTTATATGTTATGCATCGTGTTTATTATATAATTTTGAAAAAAATATCATGGATGGATTAATGAAAATGTGTATATTAAACGTAATATACGACATTTAAATGACTTGATGTATGTAAGTTTATTTAGGTACAGGTATACTAAGTATAATTATCAGAGTATATAAAATATGAAATAACTTTTAAAAACATTTGAAATTTTGGAGTTTCCAGACAAAATGGAGAGACTTAGTGCTTACTGAGCTCATGGAGAATGTAAACAAACAGGGTGGGGCACGGTGACCGTATTAGAAAGTCAGGTGGGGGGAGCCGTATAGTGAGTTTTGGTCATAATTTGAAATGTCCGTATTAGCGGAACGCCGTAAAGTGAAACGCCGTAAAGCGGGGCCTTCCTGTATATAGAAGAAGGGGGTCACTAGCATCTTGCTCCCAGCATTTTAGTCACCTCTTACAACATGCATGGTCTGTGGGGGAAGAATTCTGTTCCACTTTCCCATGGAGATTTTATTACTTTTAAACTATAATTTTAATCCACAAAAAGAAATAAAATTTGTTTAACCCTTAACCCTTTGAGGGTTTTCGTCGTACTAGTACGTCTTACGCGTAGGGGTTTTTGACGTACTAGTACTCATAAATTCTAGCGGCCTCAAATCTAGTGGGAGAAAGCTGGTAGGCCTTCATTTGAAAGAATGGGTCTAAGTGGTCAGTGTGCACAGTCTAAAAAAAATCCTGCAGCACACAGTGCATAATGAGAAAAAAAAAACTTTGACCATTTTTTTTTAATAAATCAGCGACTTTGCAGTGTATTTTCGTATGGTATTTATTGTTGTATTCTAGTTTTCTTGGTCTCATTTTATAGAATGGAAGACATATTACAGAAATTGAGATGATTTGACTGGTTTTACAAAGAAAGGTGCCTTGAAATTGAGCTCAAAGTAGCAGAAATGTTCGATTTTTACCAAACTTCAAAAGTAAACAAATCGTGCCAAGCGTGCAATACACGTCAACTGGTGAGTCTAATATTCTTTCACAAGTGCACCAATAATATTTATACCATTTTTTACACTAATGCAGTAGTCTGCATAACAGTAAATCTTATATTTTTTGTGAAAATAAAAATTCAAAGTGGAAAGCAAAAGAATATAAGAGGGGCCTTGAGACATGACTAATGACTAGAGGAAATGTCATTTTAGTACCAGGAATGTCTTTCTTGTTTATTCTGGACCCTATTCGGAAATTGGCATCTTTTGAAATTTGTGTGAAATTGGCAAAATTGCTAAATTCTGACCACTGTACTGGATAGTTGAATTTCATAAATGAGTGGTTTCTTGCACCCATTCGATAGAAAAATGGAGTTATAGCGAAATATTCATGTTTTTTGTCGACTAGTACAGTGAAATTGGCCGAAAATGGGGCTCAAAGTGGGCAAAATCGCCGATGCGTAAACATCGCCGAGACCGCTAACTTTGCGAGAGCATAATTCCGTAAGTTTTCTATCAAATTTCAAACTTTTGGTGTCTTTATGATCGGGAAAAGATTCTCTATCTTTTCATAAGAGAAAATAATTTTTTTTTTTTAAATTTGGCCGACCCTGAGAACGAGTTTCGGAGAGGGCCTGTCGACCCTCAAAGGGTTAAACGGTCCAAACGTATATATACGTTTTTTCAACATCTGAAAGTATGTAAAAAAATGTAGATCTTTTTTGTTTTACATTTGAAAATGTGTAAAAAAAAGTAGATCTACTTTTGCAGCACTACGAATTTGAACGTCGATCTGTTTGGACCGTTTAAGGGTTAAGATAAAACATTACAGCCTCTCCTCACTTAGTGACGTACTCTTTTACGGACGACTCAGACTTACGACTGGCTCTCTGACCAGTATGCATAATGTATATTAGAGCTGATTTCCTCTATTCTATTTATTACAATATACAGTACACTACTGTATAAACATTTAAAAATATACCAGAAATGTTATAAATGGTGCAAAGGTGACATTAAAACATCAAACATGACTGACACAACCTCTACCATTCTAGTATGCTCCTCACTTAGTGACAAATTTGTTTACCAACATGGTCTTAAGAACAAAACTCCGTCATTACGTGAGGAGAGGCTGTATTTATTTTAGTCACATTCTTTAATGTCTTGTGGTAGGGCACTGTGGATTAATTTTTCTTGAGAATTCGTGGATTTCCCATCCACACGGGAAGAGCCACAGCATTTATTCATATATTATCATGCTCAGGATCATACCCTTCCAAGAGAAGATGCCTATAAGCTGGTAAATAGCTCTTGATCCAAAGAATTAGAGATAGCCTCCCTTTCCTCAGATCAAACCTGATTACCTTCCATTCCCAGGTGCAGTTAGACCCATATGTTTATAATAATAATACCGGAGCTGATTTCTCCTTAATTAAATCAGACATGATTATGTTGTAGTCCCCAGACACTGACTTTCTACTGTTTTGTGCTTGCCCAGAATATATTAATAATAATTAATAGATAATGATAATAATAATAGTGATAATAATGATGATTAATATAATAATTATAATAATAATAATAATAATACTCACCATTCTTACCACGTTTCCTGAGGCGAGCTTGCATTTTCCTCGAGTTTGTACGCAGATAAATGTGCTCGACATTGAAGTCCTGTAATATGTTGAAATACACCATCAATACACTGTACAGGAAACCACAGAAAGGGTGGGGTTTGAACCCATGGCAAATGAGTCCTAAACCTCCACTCCACTTGCCATGGGTTCAAGCCCCACCTGTTACATGGTTTGTGAGTCCTCAACCTACAAACACGTTGGGGACCTCCTAAGCTGTGTATAACATTCGTAATGTATTATAATTATAATCGTGGGGGAGCGCTAAACCCGTAGGATTATACAGCGCATGCAAGGGGGACGGATGGAAGGTATTCAGGGAACTGGACACACATCCAATTCCCTAGATCAAAAGCCCCTCACCAGCATCAATGAACCTCCTGTAAGGGGTATTCATAATACAGGAAGTTTTCAACTTACAAATACAGTGGATCCCCGCTTTACGATCAGCTCCCAATGCGACCAATTATGTAAGTGTATTTATGTAAGTGCATTTGTACGTGTATGTTTGGGGGTCTGAAATGGACTAATCTAATTCACAATATTCCTTATGGGAACAAATTCGTTCAGTACTGGCACCTGAACATACTTCTGGAATGAAATACAGTGGACCCCCGGTTAACGATATTTTTTCATTCCAGAAGTATGTTCAGGTGCCAGTACTGACCGAATTTGTTCCCATAAGGAATATTGTGAAGTAGATTAGTCCATTTCAGACCCCCAAACATACACGTACAAACGCACTTACATAAATACACTTACATAATTGGTCGCATTCGGAGGTGATCGTTATGCGGGGGTCCACTGTAATATCATAAATTGGGGGTCCACTGTGCACTGGGGACCTTCTGTATTTTGTATAACAATGATACAACAATGATATACACAACAGAGGAGATTCTTAACGTGTTTGCAAGCAAACGACTTACTGTAATTGATTTAAGGCAGGTTTGCCTACTCTTACTATGCTACTGTAGTGTTATGAATTTCCTCACTCGAAAAAGTTCTTTCTTTACGTGCTTAAAGTATTTTTAGAAGTCACATTATGAAAATTACCTAAGTATTTTTAAGTGTTAATAATCTGCATATTCCTAAAGGTTTATTATATACTAAATATTTTCATCGTTATAGATTCTTTACTGTCATATAAATCATACTGACAATTCACAATTTAGAGATCAACATCAAAAGTTTCCTCTCAAAATACACCTACCACTCGACTTACGACCACTCGACTTACGACCACTCGACTTACGACCACCCGACTTACGACCACCCGACTTACGACCACCCGACTTACGACCACCCGACTTACGACCACCCGACTTACGACCGTGTTTTTTATGCCAAATTTCTGGGAAATAAACAACTATTTGTGTTGTGCACAGTGTTTATCCTAAACCTTACAGTATAAAATACAGTACTAACAACATAAAAAGTAAAGTAAAACATGAAATACCAAAATAAAACAATAAAATAAAGCCATTACAAAAATGTTTTGTTGATATTCAGTAGTAAAGTTCGACTTATGACCATTTCGACTTACGACCGGTTTCTCAGAACCGAACTCGGTCGTAAGTCGGATGGTAGGTGTAGTATGTTAGTTGTGAATTGCCTCAGTTACAGTACTATGACTAATCTGCAACTTACACTTCTATATTTCAACAAATAAGCATAAGACTGGGTTACTACCTGGAAGTTGGGAAAGACTGAGTCTGTAGGAAGTGGTCCCTTGACCAGGAACTTGAGCTTGCGAGCGTTGGTGCTAAGTCTGTCGCCAGTGTCGATACCCAGCTTCTGACACACCACACTGATCATGCGCCGCATCTGAATTCACCAGATATTATTACTTTTATGTTTATATCCCTACATTTTTCATCATAGTTAATCTCAATTTTATTGTCAACATGCTGGCCATCTGTCACTGAAAAAAAAAATGCTTTCACCACCATTCACACTGTCACTGTCTCGCCAGTGACAAATGGCAGAGACTTGTAAAAGGAAAAGTATGTGTGAAAGAGAAAGTCAAAGTCAGTGTAATAACCCAATTTTGTCAGAGAAACCATAGAGCATTGCCATTCAAGGTAGGACTGTTTGAAAGGGAAGTAGAGTTAATCAGGCCTCCCAGCATACATAAGGGGGATTACCAACAGACCCCTGGCAGTCTTCAAGCTGGCACTGGACAAGCACCTAAAGTCAGTTCCGGATCAGCCGGGCTGTGGCTCGTACGTTGGTTTGCGTGCAGCCAGCAGCAACAGCCTGGTTGATCAGGCTCTGATCCACCAGGAGGCCTGGTCACAGACCGGGCCGCGGGGGCGTTGACCCCCGGAACTCTCTCCAGGTAAACTCCAGGTAAATAACCCGCACATAGGAGAATCTTACCACGATGTCTCAGTCAGATTTGGACCAAGTGGGACCAAAACGTCATCGCAAGCTTCTCTCTCCCATGTGCGAGTTATCTGTGTATTGTTCCAGTCACGGTATTGTGCCTTTTTGCTTTTTATATTCTCTTAGTTTTTGAAGAAGGAAACTGAAGGTAGTGAAAAATGACAAATGTTATACAGAGAATGAATGTAGAAACTGAAAGATGTATGGATAAATGGCAGAAAATACCAACAAGATGCAAAAATAGACAAACGCAGCATAATATGATTCTTCACTTGACTACACTCACTGTGTGGGTGTAATGTAGTCAATAAAAGATTGCATTATATGGCAGTTATGTCTACTTTTATATGGAATAATTCATGGAGAAGAGGAGTTGTAGAGATAATATAACATGTAGAAAGGATGGAAAAGCCAGTCTGATCAAGAGGGTGTACAAGTCTGGGGTGCATAGCTTTGGGAAACATGCCAGGAGGAAGGTATTAAGAAGTAGAAGCTAGACCATCCAGTTATCATGTATGAGTGTGTTAGATGAATGTGCGTGGAGGAAGATAATTTTTCGAGATTTCATGTGCTGTTAGAACCAATTAAACATTTACAAGTGCTGAGAGGCAATACAGACATGTAACACAGCCATCACTGGACTCATTTTCTATACAAACAATTCATTTTGAAGTAAAAAAAAATGAATACAACGTATTTCAAATTTGGAAACCTCGTGTACTGCATTTGCAGAAAAAACTTTTTTTTAACTTATAAGGCATACATTTTTACTTTGATAAATATTTTCAAAATTTTACCTAGCTGTTTCGACAAGACTACAATTGTAATAATATCTAGCAACAATAACATCAAATTTTCCTAATACATATTTACTGTATTACTTGCTTAAAGGGTGCTTAATACTATAGAAAAACAAACCTTTGTATCAAACTCAGTGGAATTGTCAATGACATCGAAATATGGGTGACCAACCCAAGCCTCAGCGGCTCTGTTGTCCAACTGCCGTGCCAGCTCAATGTTCTCGCTACGGCAGGCGTGGTCCTGCACAAAGATGTTAAGAGCCAAACTTATTAATGTAGTGACACAAAATTAGTACAAATAACAAATTAAAAGACAATATTACAAAGAATACAATGTATTTTAAAGCCTAAAGATTCTTGTAAATCTTCACATTGTTGCTACTCGGTGTTTCATAAAGTAGAAATAGCTGAAAAAATTGTTATCACAGTAATTCACAAGTGCTGTGATGCATTTAGAGAATTAAAGCACAGTAATGTAATTAAAATACCAAGTGCAGTAAACTATACATAAATACCAGAGAACTTAACTTTAGAACTGATAAGAAAACTAAATATTTCTAATGAATACCATACTGACAGATATACTGATTGAATTTTGCATCTTTCATTTACTCTATTTACAAAATTGATAAAGCAGTCACCATTTGACTTACACAATGTGTGTGTGTAAATATTACAATAACAGATAAAACAGTAACTAGGCCTAATCTTACACTACTACAAATTTAAATAGGTAATAACAAGAACTCAATGAGAATACAAGGGCCCCAATAAAAATACAAGGACCCCAATGGAAATAAGTCACTGACTTTTTTCTGTGTTATTCTGGTGGTAATTTATACATTTGTTACTAATATATAAAATTTTTAGGTAGTAGGATGGTAGACAGCAACCGCCCAGGGAGGTACTACCGTCCTGCCAAGTTAGTGTAAAACTGAAGCCTGTAATTGTTTTACACGATGGTAAGATTGCTGGTGTCTTTTTTTATCTGTCTCATACACATGCAAGATTTCAGGTATGTCTTGCTACTTCTACTTACACTTAGGTCACACTACACATACATGTACAAGCATATATATACACACCCCCTTGGGTTTTCTTCTATTTTCTTTCTAGTTCTTGTTCTTGTTTATTTCCTCTTACCTCCATGGGGAAGTGGAACAGAATTCTTCCTCCGTAAGCCATGCGTGTTGTAAGAGGCGACTAAAATGCCGGGAGCAAGGAGCTAGTAACCCCTTCTCCTGTATATATTACTAAATGTAAAAGGAGAAACTTTCGTTTTTCCTTTTGGGCCACCCCGCCTCGGTGGGATACGGCCAGTGTGTTGAAAGAAAGAATAACAAGAACCCAATGAGAATACAAGGGCCCCAATAAAAATACAAGGACCCCAATGGAAATAAGTCACTGACTTTTTTCTGTGTTATTCTGGTGGTAATTTATACATTTGTTACTAATATATAAAATTTTTAGGTAGTAGGATGGTAGACAGCAACCGCCCAGGGAGGTACTACCGTCCTGCCAAGTTAGTGTAAAACGAAAGCCTGTAATTGTTTTACATGATGGTAGGATTGCTGGTGTCTTTTGTCTGTCTCATAAACATGCAAGATTTCAGGTACGTCTTGCTACTTCTACTTACACTTAGGTTACACTACACATACAATACAAGCATATATATACACACCCCTCTGGGTTTTCTTCTATTTTCTTTCTAGTTCTTGCTCTTGTTTATTTCCTCTGATCTTCATGGGGAAGAGGAACAGAATTCTTCCTCCATAAGCCATGCGTGTTGTAAGAGACGACTAAAATGCCGGGAGCAAGGGGCTAGTAACCCCTTCTCCTGTATAAATTACTAAATTTACAAAAAACTTTCGTTTTTCTTTTTGGGTCACCCTGCCTTGGTGGGGTATGGCCGATTTGTTGAAAGAAAAAAAGAAGATATAACATTTGTACTTATGTGTACCTGTATCTAAATAAACCTACTTATAGTTTGTAGTTACGAGGAAATAACTCTTACAACAGAAATTTAACAAGTACAGTGGATCCCCGGTTTACGATCAGCTCCCAATGCAACCAATCATGTAAGTGTATTTATGTAAGTGCATTTGTACATGTATGTTTGGGGGTCTGAAATGGACTAATCTAATTCACAATATTCCTTATGGGAACAAATTCGGTCAGTACTGGCACCTGAACATACTTCTGGAATGAAATAATATCGTAAACCGGGGGTCCACTGTACTCTGTATAATTGATAACAGCTTTTATAAAAACTTTATCAATATCAGTTATGTTATATATACAAAGAATGCATTCAGAATTAAAATGATCAAGATATTTGTTATGGACATAATTATTTGAATAAATAAGAATTACTACCACAGTTTACCTGGGTGCATTAACTAAGATATTAAAGAAATTAGTGCTACCGTATCATTCCTTGGCTTAAACCTGATTATTACCCACTCTCCATGTGATGCATGACCCCTATAGGTTTAGTGCTTCCCTATAATAATAATAATAACAATAATAATAATGAGAAGAGTTCTAAATACCCAGTTCCAGGCCTAATATTTAAAAATAAATTAATATTTTATATTCTAACTCATATTAACACACGATAACTAAAACAAGTGATTCAAAGTTAGATAATCATTCCACATTGAAACTTAGAAACATGTACCGAGTCAGGTGTCAGGGCATCTAGTTCTCCAACTATTATCACCAATGATGATAAAATGTACACCAAGTTGCAGAATTATTATATATTTCAACACATATGACACCTACATTTTGGATGGGAGGGCAACATTATAGATTAATGGAACCTGACAGAGAATAACAAACACAGTTTTATATTACACAAATAACCCGAACGTTAGAGAAGAAAACTTATGATGACGTTTTGGTCTGATTTGGACCATTGCAGAGAGAAACTTCACTGAGATGTTTTAGGTGTGGACGAACTTGCTCAGTCATGGTGTCCTCACCAGACATCTCTCAGTAAATTTCCTCCCTGTAATTCTCTTTTTTGTAGGTTTTAAGCTGTGATCTCTGGATAGAGTGGGCAGAAATTAATGACAACCGGGAGGAATTTACACACTAACTGGAGATGAGGTTGTCATTGGGACTTTAAATAAAAAATCTCAAGACATGAAAAGCATCATGCAAAGTGCTTCCAGGCGACCTACACCATCCAGGACAAATAAGGGGCGAGATACACCTGAAAGCTGCAGTGAAGAAATGGTTTAGAAAACTAACAAGCTGATCAATGAGACACTTGTGCAACATTTGGGTAGCTTTATTCTGGAAATGTTTCACCAGCCAGTGGCTTCTTCAGTCCAATACAGAGAAAGGTGAAAGATAGGGATTTTAAGGGACTGATTACCTCAAACTCCTCCTCATCTTCCACCTATTTCTGCTCAGGACTGAAGAAGCCACTGGCTGTGAAATATTTCCAGAATAAAGCTACCCAAGTGTTACTTAAGTATGTACATATCTCATTGATCTGAAGGATGGTGAAGGGCCCATGGTTCAGTGAAGTGAAGTTGACCTCCACTTTCCCTAATCAAAACCCACTTCACCACTCCCTCCCACTGCCCAGGCAATGCACATCTCATATGGACTGAGCACTTCCCCAAGAATAAAATATTCATGCGAGGTGAGGTGATTCATTACAAGACAAACCAAGCAGCACTGGCCTGTAAAAATAGTCAGTGGGTGTACAATACAATAAAAATACAGTACAATAAAAAATAGCATTGAAAGCAAAGCAGAAAGTCTGGCAGAAACAAAACCAGTATTGAGGATCCGAAATTTACAAATGAACTGCACTTTCCATGTTTCAACTTACGAGCAAATCATGACTCACAAAATCACAATAAAATGATTGAAAAACAAATCACAGTACAAGACGGGACGGGTTTGAATCCATGGGGAGCGTGTTGAAAAACTCCAGGTCAATCCATAAGACGCCAGCTGGCTACAATAAAGTTCATATACCTACTTGGATGACTCTTACTGCAGCCAGCTGGCCCAGTGGCTTACACACTGGCCTGGAGTTTTAGACTCGCTCACCATGGATTCAAACCACACCCGTTCTGTGGTTTAAACAGGTCATTTGAAACACTATATAAAATAACAGGGTACAAAAATTACTGTATCAAATGTGTTTATAACTGTCATTCATACAAATATTTTCTAATTTATTACGTCTTTTTTTAGAGCACGTTCACAAGTGAGGATCATCACAACTCGAGTGCTCGTAAATCAGGGACCCTTTTATGAGAAAAAACAAATAATGAGCAGACACACAAAAGAATAAGCACACAACAGAGTAGAGTAGGGACTCGTGTATGTGGATGTGTGACCTGTGTTGTTTAGTCAAATGTACTAATTCACATTAGCTTAAAAAACAGAATTATACGTTGTTGTATCGGGGACGAGTCTAAAATCCACTTTACCTTAAAGAAGTTTTTGCAAAGTCACTAATTCAGCTATGGAAAAAATTCACTAATTATAAATTAAAACCAAATAAATGAAACAAAGAATATGTGTGTGGACTATACAATATCTATGGAAGAAGAGAAAATCTATGAATATGGAAGCTAGACAGGTTTGTTCCAGTGAAATTCCTGGATTAATATTAACTTATTTCCTGATGAAGCAGTGTTATGATAAATTAAGCATAAAATTCAGATAACAAAAGGATAATTATAACCGAGCAGAAATATACTAGAATAACAGGATCAGTAATTTTCATATCCTTGGTAAAAAATACATGGAAATAGCTCATGACCCAATCAAATTTGTTTCTTGATTATTTTACCATTAAACTGCCAAGTCATTAGTTTATATTAGAATCACAGCTGGTGAGATCAACAAGCAAAAGCAGCAGTGACAAAAAACAGTTTATAACAACTGTCTAGACATGATAGTTGTTAATAATGATAAACTTATGCAAGTATTTTTTTCTTAAATTAAAATTTAAACCCAGAGTTTGTCCATTTTAAGACTGCCAACCTAGTGAGCTACTACGCCAGGCTGCAAACCTCAGCAGGGCCGGACTCTGGTTTCAAACCTTAATCACTAATTAAAAATCAATTGCATTAGTTTGCGATAAATGTCTGCATACTATACATAATACATACATAGATATATACAATATATACATACCTATCAAGGAAAATGAGACATAATTTATCTGAAATGGATAAAAAGAATGGAGAAGAGCAGCAGCTAATACGTACATGCAAGGGTGTGGTGAATGGGATAGAACCAGTACCTCAGTTGTGTAGAAAGCTTCTGCTCCATTGGCAGCAGACACCATATGGATGATCTGGTTATACCGTGTGTCCCGCAGGTCCACAGGGTTCCAACCATTCCTCTTCATTATCTCTTCCCACTGCTCTTCTGGGATAACTGTAAGATACACACATACTTAAGTTACTCTCCTGGAGGTGGGAAGTACAGTGCCTGCACTCAGGGACTGGGATATTTACTGTTTAGAGGGACATCTAAACTACCATAACTGCACGCTTCTAGCAAGACAGCAATAGTGCAAGTGATGGTGAGAGTGTTTCTTTTTTTGGGTCACCCTGCCTCAGTGGAAGATGGCCGGCATGCTTAAAAAATCATTATAATTTTTTTTATTAGTATACAGTGCATACAGGTCTTACAGTGCATTGGTATGCACTGTAAGACCTCCTACAGGCTTAGCACTTCCCACAAATATAAATTACTATATAATAATAAGGGTAAAGTACAATCATGTGACTTTTATAAACAGTTTTATCATTAATATTTTTTATAATATAAACATTTCGATTCATTTTCTTTGGCAACAGTAACCTTGATGTGGTGATTAAGACTGTCTTGCTTTCTACACACAATATATACACTAGACAGTGTATTTCTCCAGGCATCTAATACAGTATACACTCAGACTTCATATTAATCCCTGTTTTAAAGGTTACAGTAATCTTGTCAGGTAGCAAAAAGGTTACATGCAGAGTTGATAGGTTTTAAACCCCATTAACTAACCAATCCAATAACCAACCAATCCATTAACTGACCAACCAGCCTTCTGTAACCTAAACAAAGAAACTAAATTTTTATTTGTTTGTGCAAAATAGGTTAGGTTAGCTAAGGTTCATCAGGAAACAGAACAAGTGTTTCCAGACTTGGGGTCTTAGTCAGACAATGGCCCGCCATTGGAGCTTTTGGTCACCTGACCAAAGCCTTCCGCTGGCTTACCCCTCCATCCCTTTAAACTTACTTTCTTTCAACACACCAGCCGTATCCCACCGAGGCGGGGTGGCCCTGCTGTCTACCAACCTACTACCACAGGATGGTAGTACCTCCCTGGGCGGTTGCTGTCTACCAACCTACTACCACAGGATGGTGGTACCTCCCTGGGTGGTTGCTGTCTACCAACCTACTACCACAGGACGGTAGTACCTCCCTGGGTGGTTGCTGTCTACCAACCTACTACCACAGGAAGGTAGTACCTCCCTGGGTGGTTGCTGTCTACCAACCTACTACCACAGGAAGGTAGTACCTCCCTGGGTGGTTGCTGTCTACCAACCTACTACCACAGGATGGTAGTACCTCCCTGGGTGGTTGCTGTCTACCAACCTACTACCACAGGATGGTAGTACCTCCCTGGGTGGTTGCTGTCTACCAACCTACTACCACAGGATGGTAGTACCTCCCTGGGCGGTTGCTGTCTACCAACCTACTACCACAGGATGGTATTACCTCCCTGGGTGGTTGCTGTCTACCAACCTACTACCACAGGATGGTAGTACCTCCCTGGGTGGTTGCTGTCTACCAACCTACTACCTATATCCCTTTAAACATTATGGTCAAATTTTAAGGTTTCTGCAGTATAAAAATTTAGTTTACATGTAATAAAACAGTGTTAAGCACAAAACAAAGCCACTATCATGCATGTGCATTTCTGGCAGACTAATATTAATGTTTATACACTAATGAAGACTAAACATAGGTAATGAGTGGTACAATTTTGGGTATGTGTTATTACAAAAAGGGAGGTAGCAAAAATAGTACAAGCAGATAATGTCAGCTGTCACTCATGGGTTGGAATGGTTTACATTGTCTCCCTTGCCATTGTGGCTGTTGTTGCTTGGCCACATTAACTGGTGAGATTTCACGTAGAAAGTCCAGAGTATTTTGGGCAAGCTTAAGCCTAACTAAAGACTACAAGGCCAATAAAATTTACATGCAAGTATTTAAGGTTATTAAATGTATACAATTACTGAATACGTGAGTATACAATGGATGTATACGTATGTAGATTAAATATATCCTTGTATGTGATTATAATAAAAAATTGTTTGGGTTATCGTCTAGTAAGTTTAAAGGTAGAATCAGACTTCTCTTTACAGGGTTTCACTAATGCAATGGTTTTCATTTACAGCCATTCTTCATTTATTCAGACTTCCTACAATAAATACATTCACCACTCACTATTAGCTAAGAACGAAAATATTTTAAGTAATGTGCGCACTGTATATGCATTTTCAAGACCCAGCTCTATTGCTCACTTAATACAGTGGACCCCTGCTTAACGATAACCTCCCAATGCGACCAATTATGTAAGTGTACTGTATTTATGTAAGTGCGTTTGTACGTGTATGTTTGGGGGTCTGAAATGGACTAATCTAATTCACAATATTCCTTATGGGAACAAATTCGGTCAGTACTGGCACCTGAACATACTTCTGGAGTGAAAAAATATCGTTAACATGGGGTCCACTATATATGATATTGTAAACATGTTATTGGGCTTTTATATGCATTTGAAAATAAAAAAACAAAGCTATGTTTAACTTCATAGCAATAAATAAAAAGGCACAATACCGTGACTGGAACGATACACAAATAACCCGCACATAAAAGAGAGAAGCTTACGACGACGTTTCGGTCCGACTTGGACCATTGACAAAGTCAATGTGTGTTTCATAGCAATTCTTGCTTTACAACAGCAGCCCAGAACCTAACCTGGTGTATAAGTGGGGCCCTACAGTATCCCAGAACCTAACCTGCTGTATAAGTGGGGCCCTACAGTATCCCAGAACCTAACCTGCTGTATAAGTGGGGCCCTACAGTAGCCCGGAACCTAACCTGCTGTATAAGTGGGGCCCTACAGTATCCCAGAACCTAACCTGCTGTATAAGCGGGGCCCTACAGTATCCCAGAACCTAACCTGCTGTATAAGTGGGGCCCTACAGTAGCCCGGAACCTAACCTGCTGTATAAGTGGGGCCCTACAGTATCCCGGAACCTAACCTGCTGTATAAGTGGGGCCCTACAGTATCCAGGAACCTAACCTGCTGTATAAGCGGAGCCCTACAGTATCCCAGAACCTAACCTGCTGTATAAGTGGGGCCCTACAGTATCCCAGAACCTAACCTGCTGTATAAGTGGGGCCCTACAGTAGCCCGGAACCTAACCTGCTGTATAAGTGGGGCCCTACAGTATCCCAGAACCTAACCTGCTGTATAAGTGGGGCCCTACAGTATCCCAGAACCTAACCTGCTGTATAAGTGGGGCCCTACAGTATCCCAGAACCTAACCTGCTGTATAAGTGGGGCCTACAGTATCCAGAACCTAAACCTGCTGTATAAGTGGGCCCTACAGTATCCCAGAGCCTAACCTGCTGTATAAGTGGGGCCCTACAGTATCCCAGAACCTAACCTGCTGTATAAGTGGGGCCCTACAGTATCCCAGAACCTAACCTGCTGTATAAGTGGGGCCCTACAGTATCCCAGAACCTAACCTGCTGTATAAGTGGGGCCCTACAGTATCCCAGAACCTAACCTGCTGTATAAGTGAGGCCCTACAGTAGCCCGGAACCTAACCTGCTGTATAAGTGGGGCCCTACAGTAGCCCGGAACCTAACCTGCTGTATAAGTGGGGCCCTACAGTAGCCCGGAACCTAACCTGCTGTATAAGTGGGGCCCTACAGTAGACCCGGACCTAACCTGCTGTATAAGTGGGGCCCTACAGTAGCCCGAACCTAACCTGCTGTATAAGTGGGGCCCTACAGTAGCCCGGAACCTAACCTGCTGTATAAGTGGGGCCCTACAGTAGCCCGGAACCTAACCTGCTGTATAAGTGGGGCCCTACAGTAGCCCGGAACCTAACCTGCTGTATAAGTGGGGCCCTACAGTAGCCCAGAACCTAACCTGCTGTATAAGTGGGGCCCTACAGTAGCCCGAACCTAACCTGCTGTATAAGTGGGCCCTACAGTAGCCGGAACCTAACCTGCTGTATAAGTGGGGTCCTACAGTAGCCGGGAACCTAACCTGCTGTATAAGTGGGGCCCTACAGCAGCCCGGAACCTAACCTGCTGTATAAGTGGGGCCCTACAGTAGCCCGAACCTAACCTGCTGTATAAGTGGGGCCCTACAGTAGCCCAGAACCTAACCTGCTGTATAAGTGGGGCCCTACAGTAGCCTGGAACCTAACCTGCTGTATAAGTGGGGCCCTACAGCAGCCCGGAACCTAACCTGCTGTATAAGTGGGGCCCTACAGTAGCCTGGAACCTAACCTGCTGTATAAGTGGGGCCCTACAGTAGCCTGGAACCTAACCTGCTGTATAAGTGGGGCCCTACAGTAGCCCGAACCTAACCTGCTGTATAAGTGGGGCCCTACAGTAGCCCGGAACCTAACCTGCTGTATAAGTGGGGTCCTACAGTAGCCGGGAACCTAACCTGCTGTATAAGTGGGGCCCTACAGTAGCCTGGAACCTAACCTGCTGTATAAGTGGGGCCCTACAGCAGCCCGGAACCTAACCTGCTGTATAAGTGGGGCCCTACAGTAGCCTGGAACCTAACCTGCTGTATAAGTGGGGCCCTACAGTAGCCTGGAACCTAACCTGCTGTATAAGTGGGGCCCTACAGTAGCCCGGAACCTAACCTGCTGTATAAGTGGGGCCCTAAAGTAGCCTGGAACCTAACCTGGTGTATAAGTGGGGCCCTACAGTAGCCCAGAACCTAACCTGCTGTATAAGTGGGGCCCTACAGTAGCCCAGAACCTAACCTGCTGTATAAGTGAAGCCCTACAGTAGCCTGGAACCTAACCTGCTGTATAAGTGGGGCCCTACAGTAGCCTGGAACCTAACCTGCTATATAAGTGGGGCTCTACAGTAGCCCAGAACCTAACCTGCTGTACAAGTGGGGCCCTACAGTAGCCTGGAACCTAACCTGGTGTATAAGTGGGGCCCTACAGCAGCCTGGAACCTAACCGGCTGTATAAGTGGGGCCCTACAGTTGCCCAGAACCTAACCTGCTGTATAAGTGGGGCCCTACAGTAGCCTGGAATCTAACCTGCTGTATAAATGGGGCCCTACAGTAGCCCGGAACCTAACCTGCTGTATAAGTGAGGCCCTACTGTAGCCTGGAACCTAACCTGCTGTATAAGTGGGGCCCTACAGTAGCCTGGAACCTAACCTGGTGTATAAGTGGGGCCCTACAGCAGCCTGGAACCTAACCTGCTGTATAAGTGGGGCCCTACAGTAGCCTGGAACCTAACCTGGTGTATAAGTGGGGCCCTACAGTAGCCTGGAAACTAACCTGGTGTATAAGTGGGGCCCTACAGTAGCCTGGAACCTAACCTGGTGTATAAGTGGGGCCCTACAGCAGCCTGGAACCTAACCTGGTGTACAAGTGGGGTCCTACAGTAGCCTGGAACCTAACCTGGTGTATAAGTGGGGCCCTACAGCAGCCTGGAACCTAACCTGCTGTATAAGTGGGGCCCTACAGTAGCCCAGAACCTAACCTGCTGTATAAGTGGGGCCCTACAGTAGCCCAGAACCTAACCTGCTGTATAAGTGGGGCCCTACAGTAGCCCGGAACCTAACATGCTGTATAAGTGGGGCCCTACAGTAGTCCGGAACCTAACCTGCTGTATAAGTGGGGCCCTACAGTAGCCCAGAACCTAACCTGCTGTATAAATGGGGCCCTACAGTAGCCCAGAACCTAACCTGCTGTATAAATGGGGCCCTACAGTAGCCCAGAACCTAACCTGCTGTATAAGTGGGGCCCTAAAGTAGCCTGGAACCTAACCTGGTGTATAAGTGGGGCCCTACAGTAGCCCAGAACCTAACCTGCTGTATAAGTGGGGCCCTCCTGTACATGTGTATGGCTAGCCCCCAAATTCACAGGATTTGATTATATGTTTTTACTGAAAGGCAACCCACAAACAAATTCAACTATCTGTGGGATTTTTGTTTGCAGTGCCCATTTCTGGGGCTTTGGCACAAGATCCCTAAACTGAAAGCTAACAATAGAATTTGCACGCCAGGTCACCACATAGACGAGACCCGGGCTGGAACTATGCCGGTGAATCAAACAGCAATAATAATAAATTTCTCTCTTTTCTCCGGTATATAGGTAATGTAGTTTATGAGTAATAAATTATTAGGCACACAAGAAAGCCACTAACATGTGGTGCATTCTGGGAAGAATAGCACTTGCTGCACTTGAAAATGGGCTGTATATGCATTTTTTTAGGCCTAGCTCTATTGCTCACATAATATATGAAAGTGCAATGATGTTATCAGGCTTTTATATACATTTCAAAATGAAAAAATGGCTATGTTTCACTTTACAGCAATTTCTGCTTTGCAGCAGTAGCCCAGAACCTAACCTGCTGTATAGGTGGGGCCCTACAGTAGCCCAGAACCTAACCTGCTGTATAAGTGGGGCCCTACAGTAGCCTGGAACCTAACCTGCTGTATAAATGGGGCCCTACAGTAGCCCAGAACCTAACCTGCTGTATGTGGGGTCCTTCAGTAGCCCAGAACCTAACCTGCTGTATAAGTGGGGCCCTACAGTAGCCCAGAAACTAACCTGCTGTATAAGTGGGGCCCTACAGTAGCCCAGAACCTAACCTGCTGTATAAGTGGGGCCCTACAGTAGCCCAGAACCTAACCTGCTGTATAAGTGGGGCCCTACAGTAGCCCAGAACCTAACCTGCTGTATAAGTGGGGCCTCCTGTACAGAGATGGGTGACAATTGGTTGTGTATGTAGAAAGCCCATAGTTTTCCTTAAGTGATAGAATTTTGCATTCTCTACACTACGAGGCTGTAAATAAGGAAGGTGTAGCAAGTGCTGACTTACATGCGCTGGCATCCATGGTTCCTCGATCACAGATCACCAGGCAGTTCTTCCTGCACGTTTCTGCCAGACTGAAGAAGGTGTTCTCGATCTGCATCATCGACTTCAGTAGGTTCTCTTGGAAAGCAACAGCTGAAAAACAAAAACAATCACATATGCAGTTTAGCCACAGGAAGTAGCAAAATTACACTAACAAACAACAGAAATAAATTTCTTTGACTTTTTTGGATTATCTTAGTTCTTTACACTATGTATGATAATTGTACAATAGGACCCCTCATATCTGTGGGGATACGTATCAAGGACCTGCTGTGGATACCAAAACTGTGTATGGTAGCAAACCCTATACAGTGGTACCCCGAGTTTTGTACAGCTCCCAACTCGAACAATTATGTAAGTGCTTTTGTAAGTGTATTTTTGTAAGTGCTTTTGTAAGTGTATTTTTGGGAGTCTGAAACAGATTAATCCAATTCACATTATTCCTTATGGGAACAAATTCGTTCGGTAACAGCACTCGAACAGCCGTCTGGAATGAATTATGGCTGAAACTCGAGGTGCCACTGCATATAAATCCTATACATACTTATTAAAAAGTTTAATTGATAAATTATGCACAGTAAGTGGAGAATTATCAATTCACTGATGGGAAGCACTTCACAGCTTCTCTTAGTCTTTGGAGTAACAAAATTATACTATGGAAAATAAACAAATGCTGTGTAATGTAATCCTTTACCGACTACGTTTCGCCCACACAGTGGGATTTATCAAGTCGCAAACAGATCTACCTGGGTAAAGAGAATGTGAGTATATACGTATAGTGTGGAGAGTCAGGTGGAAAATGTTGGGGAGGTTGTATCTGAGATGGACCTACCCAGGACGAGCGGTGTGTAGCATGTTGTTATGCAGGATAACCACGAAGTTTCTTGGTCAATAAAGGATCACACAATACTGCATTTGTGTTTATTTTTCCATCATGTCGGTATTTTATACCTTTTATCTCCAAAATTATACTAACAGCATCAGTACCAGAGTGAACAATTAATATTTTAAATACGAGACAATTAATAGGGACTTAATGTAGGGGAAATAAAATTCGTTTCTGCATATTAATAATGTTTCCGTCACCCTGCTTTGGTGGGAAATGGCCGATGTTAATAATAATAAACAAAATTAATAATGTTAATGTTATATCTGTCTTGTGGATAAATGACATGCGAGTGTTATGACAGAAGCAAATTATTACTATAAATTTTTTAACCCTTACACTGTCCAAACGTAGACCTGCGTTCACGTGTGCAGAGCTCCGAACATGGATCTATGTTTTTTTTTTTACATGCTTTCAAATGGAGAAAATAAAGGTCGGAACACTATGCATGTGAACGTAGAACTACATTCACACAGTTTAAAGGTTAAGAGGGACATGTTGATGCTGGTGAAGGGATCTTGGTCCAAGGAACTGCAGCCATCCTCCCTTTCTTGAATCTATACCTAATTACTTTCCATACCCAGGGCACTGTGTTTCCCCATGAACACAAACTATGCAGTAAGCTTATAGAATTTGGGATACAAAATCCTTTGGGCCAATACATTTGAAAATAGTTGGTCACGGAAGTGGCCATTATTGTTACAATCAATGAAATATCACTGAACCTCTATCCACCACAATGGCCATTACTGGCCACCAATCTTCCCAATTAATCCATCAAATCTAGGTGATACTAAACAATGAATCAAGTGTTTTACTCACCATCGTCTTGAGACAGGTCACCAAACTTGATGCCACCACTGGAAAAGAGAGAATTTGGTTTACACAGTGGCTGTCTCTGTGCTTAACAATATCTGACTATGTGTAAACTACACACTGTATACTCTCCTATACAAAGAAATAAAATTTTTAATTTCAATTTTTTAATTTTTTATTGGGTCATTGGTTAAATCTATAAACAGCGACGTGCTCATTTACCGATGACTCAGACTTACGATGGGCTCTCTGACCAGTATGCATACCTAAATAATGTATATTAGAGCTGATTTCCTCTACTCTATTATAATATACAGAACACTACTGTATAAACATTTAAATATATACTAAGAATGTTATAAATGATGCAAAGGTGACATTAAAACAATATCAAAGATGACTGACACAAACCCACTACCATTATTGTATGCTCCTCACTTAGCGACGAATTCGTTTACCAACATGGTCTTCGGAATGGAACTCCATCGTTAAGTGAAGAGAGGCTGTAATGTAATTTTGCTGTGTGTCTAAACATCTACGTGGTCTCACAACCATTCTACTACTTTGTTACTACTGTACAGGATTTATAGATTTTTTAAATAAAGGTTATTATTATTATTATTATTATTATTATTATTATTATTATTATTTTAACCCTACCTTGGTGGGAAATGGCCGGGGTGTTAATAAAAAAAATATAAATAAACCGGCTGTATCCCACCGAGGCAGGGTGGCCCAAAATGAAAAACAAAAGTTTCTCTTTTTAATTTTAGTTACCTCCTATGGCACGCATGGCTTATGGAGGAAGAATTCTATTCCACCTCCCCATGGAGAATTATTATTATTATTATTATTATTATTATTATTATCATCATCAGGACCCCAATGGAAATAAGTCACTCTGTGTGACTTTTTTGGGTTATCCCAGGTTCTCTACACATATGCTGCTATGTATGATAATTCTATGTAACTGTATTTGTGTATACCTGAATAAACTTACTTACTTACTATAATCAGTTACTTGTGTAATAGTGTGGATAATATAATGTTCTCTAAGCCATGATTAGTGCAAATATTGAATCCTGAGAATTGGTCTCACCTGAATTTGTACTAACCAAGGGGACCTCATTGATACAAGGAACTGGAGCTCTCCACCGCCTCATATCAAAGCATAATTACCTCCCATGCCCCGGGAGCTGCAAGACCCCTGAGAGTTTAGCGCTTCCCCACGAATACATTAATCCAGGAACATTTCTTACCTGAGTAAGACCGTGGCTGTCTCAGGCACCCGGTACACCTGTACAGGAGAGTTACAAAAATGTGAATCAATGTAAAAAAAGAAAAAAACACAGCTTGAATTTGTATCAAGTTGGTCACACAAAATGTGATTAGATATGTTCCCAAATTTGATGAGTGGGTCCCTAAATTTGATGAGTGGGTCCCTAAATTTGATGAGTGGGTCCCTAAATTTGATGAGTGGGTCCCTAAATTTGATGAGTGGGTCCCTAAATTTGATGAGTGGGTCCCTAAATTTGATGAGTGGGTCCCTAAATTTGATGAGTGGGTCCCTAAATTTGATGAGTGGGTCCTTAAATTTGATGAGTGGGACCCTAAATTTGATGAGTGGGTCCCTAAATTTGATGAGTGGGTTCCTAAAATTTTATGAGTGGGTCCCTAAATTTGATGAGTGGGTCCCTAAATTTGATGAGTGGGTCCCTAAATTTGATGAGTGGGTCCCTAAATTTGATGAGTGGGTCCCTAAATTTGATGAGTGGGTCCCTAAATTTAAGAGCAAGTCTTGAAATTTCAGTGTTTGTGCTCACCTATATGTAGCTGCAGTGGTTAAGTCACAGCTCCTGGCCCTGCCTCTTTGCTGGTCACTACTAGGTCCACTCTCAACAAGAGCTTTATCGTACCTCATCTTAAAGCTATGTATGGATCCTGCTTCCACTACATCACTCTCCAGTGTGTGTGTGCATGTGTGCATGCATGTACATGTGCTTGTGTGTGCACCACCACCACTAGGCGAGCACAGGAAACACATCACCTTACAATTTCATAGCGTCATCCAAGTTATTGCCAAACACTGCATTGTTCAGTGTTTATTATGTTATGTTTTACCACACAATAGTGTGTGAGAGAGAGAGAGAGAGAGAGAGAGAGAGAGAGAGAGAGAGAGAGACAGACAGACAGACAGACAGACAGAAAGAAAGAGAAAGAAAGAGAGAAAGAGGGAGAGAGAGAGACAGACAGTGATGTGTGTGTGTGTGTGTGTGTGTGTGTGTGTGTGTGTGGGGTGTGTGTGTGTGTGTGTGTGTGTGTGTGTGTACTCACCTAGTTGTGGTTGCAGGGCTTGAGTCACAGCTCCTGGCCCTGCCTCTTTACTGGTGTGAGAGAGAATGTCATATGATCATTTAAAAAATAATTACCAATTCAAATGATTAATGTACGTTCCACCCACCATGGGTGACAGCCCCCACCATGGGTGACAACCCCCACCATGGGTGACAGCCCCCACTATGGATGACAGCCCCCACCATGAGTGAGAGCCCCCATCATGAGTGACAGCCCCCATCATGAGTGACAGCCTCCACCATGAGTGCAGCCCCCACCATGGATAACAGCCCCCACCATGAGTGACAACCCCCACCATGGATAACAGCCCCCACCATGGGTGACAGCCCCTACCATGGGTGACAGCCCCCACCATGGGTGACAGCCCCCACCATGGGTGACAACCCCCACTATGGATAACAGCCCCCACTATGGATAACAGCCCCCACTATGGGTGACAGCCCCCACCATGAGTGACAGCCCCCACTATGGATAACATCCCCCACCATGGGTGACAACCCCCACCATGGGTGACAACCCCCACTATGGATAACAGCCCCCACCATGGATAACAGCCCCCACCATGGATAACAGCCCCCACCATGGGTGACAACCCCCACCATGGATAACAACCCCACCATGGATAACAACCCCCACCATGGATAACAACCCCCACCATGGGTGACAACCCCCACCATGGGTGACAACCCCCACCATGGGTGACAACCCCCACCATGGGTGACAACCCCCACTATGGATAACAACCCCCACCATGGATAACAACCCCCACCATGGATAACAACCCCCACCATGGATAACAACCCCCACCATGGATAACAGCTCCCACCATGGATAACAGCCCCCACCATGGATAACAGCCCCCACCCATGGGTAACAGCCCCCACCATGGATAACAAGCCCCCACCATGGATAACAGCCCCCACCATGGGTGACAGCCCCCACTATGGATAACCCCCACCATGGATAACAACCCCCCACCATGGATAACAGCCCCACCATGGAGAACAGCCCCCACCATGGATAACGCCCCCATGGATAACAGCCCCCACCATGGGTAACAGCCCACACCATGGATAACAGCCCCCACCATGGATAACAGCCCCCACCATGGGTGACAGCCCCACTATGGATAACAACCCCCATCATGGATAACCCTCACCATGGATAACAGCTCCCACCATGGATAACAGCCCCCACCATGGATAACAGCCCCCACCATGGGTGACAGCCCCCACCATGGATAACAGCCCCACCCATGGATAACAGCCCCCACCATGGATAACAGCCCCCACCATGGATAACAGCCCCCACCATGGATAACAGCCCCCACCATGGATAACAGCCCCACCATGGGTGACAGCCCCCACTATGGATAACAGCCCCCACTATGGATAACAACCCCACCATGGATAACCCTCACCATGGATAACAGCTCCCACCATGGAAAACAGCCCCCACCATGGATAACAGCCCCCACCATGGTGACAGCCCCCACCATGGATAACAGCCCCCACCATGGGTGATAGCACCCACCATGGATAACAGCCCCCACCATGGGTGACAGCCCCCACCATGGATAACAGCCCCCACCATGGGTGATAGCACCCACCATGGATAACAGCCCCACTAAGGGTAAACTATCATATATTAAAGTTTCTCACAGCTAAACACATCTTTAAAACAAATCCCCAACTATAGGACCCACAGCAATGTCTATTAATTCCGCAAATCGACAACACTGCCAACACACATGAACCACTGCAATAATCACAATTGCAAGCGAGTTAGGATAGATGGAGGGCCATGGGCCATGTTTGCTACCACCTTGATAGTAAGTAGTGCCAGGTATAACGTCACTAGGGAAGACTACAGCAGCTGTGATCGATAACACTGGCAGCTGCTGCAAATATGTCACCCACTGCATCGATTTCCCTTATGTATCTTTTTCTCAGCAGCCTCTGGTGCCTTTGTGGTCAAGTTTGTTGTGTTGCTGAGAGACCAGCAGTTTCTGGTACCTTTGTATCAAGACTGTTGTGTTGCTGAGAGACCAGCAGCCTCTGGTACCTTTGTATCAAGACTGTTGTGTTGCTGAGAAACCAGCAGCCTCTGGTACCTTTGTGGTCAAGTTTGTTGTGTTGCTGAGAGACCAGCAGCCTCTGGTACCTTTATATCAAGGCTGTTGTGCTGCTGAGAGACCAGCAGCCTCTGGTACCTTTGTATCAAGGCTGTTGTGTTGCTGAGAGACCAGCAGCCTCTGGTACCTTTGTATCAAGACTGTTGTGTTGCTGAGAGACCAGCAGCCTCTGGTACCTTTGTGTCAAGACTGTTGTGTTCCTGAGAAACCAGCAGCCTCTGGTACCTTTGTGGTCAAGTTTGTTGTGTTGCTGAGAGACCAGCAACCTCTGGTACCTTTGTATCAAGACTGTTGTGTTGCTGAGAGACCAGCAGCCTCTGGTACCTTTATATCAAGGCTGTTGTGTTGCTGAGAGACCAGCAGCCTCTGGTACCTTTGTATCAAGACTGTTGTGTTGCTGAGAGACCAGCAGCCTCTGGTACCTTTGTGTCAAGACTGTTGTGTTCCTGAGAAACCAGCAGCCTCTGGTACCTTTGTGGTCAAGTTTGTTGTGTTGCTGAGAGACCAGCAACCTCTGGTACCTTTGTATCAAGACTGTTGTGTTGCTGAGAGACCAGCAGCCTCTGGTACCTTTATATCAAGGCTGTTGTGCTGCTGAGAGACCAGCAGCCTCTGGTACCTTTATATCAAGGCTGTTGTGCTGCTGAGAGACCAGCAGCCTCTGGTACCTTTATATCAAGACTGTTGTGCTGCTGAGAGACCAGCAACCTCTGGTACCTTTGTATCAAGACTGTTGTGCTGCTGAGAGACCAGCAACCTCTGGTACCTTTGTATCAAGACTGTTGTGCTGCTGAGAGACCAGCAACCTCTGGTACCTTTGTATCAAGACTGTTGTGTTGCTGAGAGACCAGCAGCCTCTGGTACCTTTATATCAAGGCTGTTGTGTTGCTGAGAGACCAGCAGCCTCTGGTACCTTTGTATCAAGACTGTTGTGTTGCTGAGAGACCAGCAGCCTCTGGTACCTTTGTATCAAGGCTGTTGTGTTGCTGAGAGACCAGCAGCCTCTGGTACATTTGTATCAAGGCTGTTGTGTTGCTGAGACCAGCAACCTCTGGTACCTTTGTATCAAGGCTGTTGTGTTGCTGAGAGACCAGCAGCCTCTGGTACCTTTGTATCAAGGCTGTTGTGTTGCTGAGAGACCAGCAGCCTCTGGCAGCCTTGTAGCTTGTGTTTCTTGAGACAATTCACAATACTCTTAGACAGCAAGATTTCACTAATTTCCCGGTGTTTGTGACGATCCTGGGCCATTGTTAAGTCTGGTGGTCCTGGGCCATTGTTAAGTCTGGTGGTCCTGGGCCATTGTTAAGTCTGGTGGTCCTGGGCCATTGTTAAGTCTGGTGGTCCTGGATCCTTGTTTAGTCTGGTAGTCCTGGATCCTTGTTTAGTCTGGTAGTCCTGGATCCTTGTTAAGTCTGGTGGTCCTGGGCCATTGTTAAGTCTGGTGGTCCTGGGCCATTGTTAAGTCTGGTGGTCCTGGATCCTTGTTTTAGTCTGGTAGTCCTGGATCCTTGTTTAGTCTGGTAGTCCTGGAATCCTTGTTAAGTCTGGTGGTCCTGGGCCATTGTTAAGTCTGGTGGTCCTGGGCCATTGTTAAGTCTGGTGGTCCTGGGCCATTGTTAAGTCTGGTGGTCCTGGGCCATTGTTTAAGTCTGGTGGTCCTGGGCCATTGTTAAGTCTGGTGGTCCTGGGCCATTGTTAAGTCTGGTGGTCCTGGGCCATTGTTAAGTCTGGTGGTCCTGGGCCATTGTTAAGTCTGGTGGTAGTGGGCCATTGTTAAGTCTGGTGGTCCTGGGCTATTGTTTAGTCTG